GGTTACAATCGGTTTAGGGTTTAGGGTTTAGGGTCTATCCAGGTCGGTGAGTTTCATATAGGGTGTGGGGGGGTTGGGGTTAAAACCCTAAACCCTAAACCCTAAACCCTAAACCCCTAAACTATTCCTTAGCGTTCCTGTGCCTGGCTTTAGGCAGCTCTAACTAAGTACTGTACCATCCTTTTAGAGCCGTGGTAGATCCTCGAGAATCCCTCAGCCCTAAACCCCTGAGCCACAGGCCTTGGGCCTTACTTCTAACATAAAAACCTTGAGTTGAACCTCGGACAGCCCAATAATTATAGGGGCCTAAATAATTAGAATAGGGTTTAGGGGTATATTCTACTATAATTTCAATAAGAAGCCCCTGAAACCCTATTCTAATTATGAAGGCTCCTACATTACGACCCTAGTCAAATCTTAAAAGCCGTAGAAGAGCCCGAAGCTGACCAAGGTGTTCCGGGCCTTGTCCTGCTGGCGCCCCTGGATCACTTGTTCGGCTGGGGGGGCCCCGAGGTGGCTGGGTGTAAGCAGTCCCGTTTAGAGTTTAGGTTTAGGGTTTAGGGTTTAGGGTGTAGGTCTTCAGGAATAATTGTTGCAGGGTGCTTTGGTTAAGAAGGATCAGGAGAGGTATAGACGGGCGTAGGAGGGGTTTCTAAGGTTGTAGCTGCAGTGGTTCATTAGCGCCCCGGGGAGATTAGAGGTATTCCTTGGTGTTTATGGGGGGGTGGTGTAGGGTTGTATGATCATTTGACTGAGGAGGAGAGGTGTAGGGTGTTACAACGCTTCTGTAATTGAAGGACCACAGGACCGCAGTAGGTAAGACAGCCATAGGGCTTATATTAGGGAATGTAGGTCTCAGGGGTTGTGTTCCTGATGTGGTTCTCCACGGCTTTGTAAGGTTTTACGGTTCAGAAAGTCAGCAAAAGTTTAAGCACCCTTATTCGGAACATATTTACAAAGTTACCAGAGTCTCTGAATACAGAGTGGTTTCAGGGTGCTTCGAAGCACTGCTGAAGGCTCGATTTTCAAGGCTTATTGTGTTGCAGTTTAAATTCAGATTCAGGTTGTGGGTTACCATGTAATTGTTGGGTTTGGTTTTCAAGGGCTGCGAGATGTATTGCGCACACAAGGGCTGCGATTCGGGATGCCGGCCCCGAAACCAGACCAGGAAATGGATTGGAATGTGGCTAGTAAGCACCTGTAACTGTGAAATTTGAATATACCACACACCCAAAACCCCTAAACCTTGAGCCCCTAAACCCTAAACCCCCAAAGCCCAAACCGTAAACCCCAAAATTCTTTGAAGCTTCGATGCCTTTGCGCAGGTCCCGTTCCTGAGTCGCTTCGGCATGGGATTCTCGGCTGAGATGCTCTTGTGGGGTTCAGGGCTTCGGGTTCAGGGTTCAGGGCTTAGGGTTGAGGGCTTAGGGTTTGGGGTCTAGGGCTTCGGGTTTAGGGCGGAGGGTATTTAGGGGGTGGGGGTTATAGGGTTTAGGGTTAGGGTGGGTAAGGGAGAGGGGATCCCCCCGGGGGGTTTGTCCCGGATGTGTATCGTTTGTGAACACTTTGGCAGATTTTAGAAGGTGTAGCTCACCTGCAGCAACTTTACCGACCTGTCCCTGTTTCATAATGTATGGAATATAACTTTAGTTCCAGATGATGGCGCACCAAGGTGCACACAAAGTCTTCCCAAAACACAGTAGGGCTTCTATTTCCAAACCATATGCTACCGTTGAAAGGGCTAAACACTGTGCCGAAAAGCCGTATATGAACAGCCCAAACCCTCACCCTAAAGGCCCGCAATTGGCGCCCATAACCACCTTCTCAAACCAAGAACCGAAAACCGCACACCCCAAATCCCTAAAGCCCCAAGCCCCACTACACCCTAAAACTTTCAAGCCCTAAACTCTATAACCTCAAAGCCCTAAACTTCCTGAAGCCCCTAAACCCTAAACCCTAAACAAACAAACCCTAAACCCTAAACCCTAGACCCTAAACCCGAAACCCGAAACCCTAAACCCTGAGGGAATGTGGTCTTCCACCATCCCTGGCTCTACTACGTCAAGGCCCGGGTCCGCGTCCACTCGGTTTCCAACAGAAGCTCTGGTTAGGGTTTAGGGTTTGGGGTTTAGGGTTTAGGGTTTAGGGCTTTTCCGCCCAAAGGCTAGAATATGCAGGATTTCCTGGGCTGTCGTGAGCTTTATAGGATAATCGTCAGGGTATTCAGGGGCTGATTCAAGGTTTCTTTTCAGGATTCCAGGGTTTTATATCAAATCTTAGTAAGGGCTCATAGGGTGGAACCCATAAAGGAAGCCCGTAAAGCAGCCCTTAGTGGAGCCCTTCCTGGCTTCGAGTTGACTGTGTTCTGCGTTCAAAATCGCGAGGTTTGGCTTGTTCTTTATTCTTTTCTGCGGGAGGAACACTAACCCTGAACCCTAATCCCTGAACCCAAGAGTTCGGGCTTAGTGTCTGGGGTTTGGGCATCTTTACGGTTTGGGACATTTTGGGTTTGGAGTTCTGGGCTGTGAATAGCTAGGTCGATAGCCAGCAGCCATTTGGGTTTATAGAACCTCTCACCATCAAAAACTGAACCTTTTTGGGGCGCCACTGTGCTCAACAACTAGGTGTTCCCCGCACCCTAAGCCTCACAACTAAACCCTAAACCCTAAACCCCAAGCCTTAAACCCTAGACCCTAAGCCCTAAACCCTAAACCCCAAAGGGGTGTTCCTTTTCCATGGAATCTCTATGCTTTTTGTTATGCTTAGCCGCTCCGAGGATCGGCGAGTAGGGGCTCTTTAAGAGTGCAGGGAGATCCGCGTTAGTATTTGGGTTGAGGGTTTAGGGTGTGCGGTTTAGGGTTTTAGGGTTTGGGGTTTAAGGGTTTAGGGTTTAAGGGTTTAGGGTTTGGGCTTTAGGGTTGGGGTTTCGACTCTGTCAGTGCTGGGTTGGGTTAGAGACTAGAAGCCCTCAAGTACACCCCTGGATCTTATACTCCTGACAGTAGTATATAGTGCGTGATGTAGCGGCCAGAACAAGATTGTAGTTCGGGGGTGTTGCGATGTTTCCGGCGCTTGCACTTCAAGCTTTGAAAACCCTAAACCCTAAACCCTAAACTCCCAAACTCTCCGGCCCGAGGCGATGTATGTGGCGTATGTCTGCTGGACTGTGAAGACGGTCGTCTACAAAGCTCAGGAGAGGCATTTCACCGCAAGCCGCAATCCCTCCACACCAAAGCGTAGCACATTGCAAACCCTCAGCAGCTGGACCTCTTACATGTTGATGTTGATGATGGCCAACAGCAGCGACTTCAGCACTACCACCGACGACCACTACCAGCAGAAACAGCAGCAGCAGCAGCAGCAGCAGCAGCAGCACCACCACCAACAACAACAACAACAACAGCAGCAGCAGCAGCAGCAGCAGCAATAGCAATAGCAATAGCACTAGCACTAGCACTAGCACTAGCACTAGCACTAGCACTAGCACTAGCAATAGCAATAGCAATAGCAACAGCAACAGCAACAGCAACAGCAACAGCAACAGCAACAGCAACAATCACCACAACAAGAACAACAACAACAACAACAACAACAACAACAGCAACAACCATTACTACTACTACTACTACTACTACTACTACTTCTTCTTCTTCTACGACAACTTCTACAACCACTACTATTACTACGACGACAACGACGACTACTACTACACTTCTACTACTGGTACTACTACTGGTACTACTGGTACTACTACTACTACTACTACTACTACTACTACTGCCACTACTACCTCTACTACTACAGTCAAAGCAACGACACTGGCAATGACGATAAGACTAACTATAACACCCTTTGTAATATTACTTGTAATAAGACTAGTAACAGTAACAAGAATTAATTTCTGCAATCACAACCACGACGATAACCCCAAGCACAGTAGCAGGAGTTTCAGCAGGAAATGCAAGAGCAAGAGGAACTGCAACACCAAGAGGATGAGCAATAACTAGAGCAACAGCAGCAGCAGCTGCTGCTGCTGCTCCCTCCGCAATTAGCATAGTCACAATCGCAATGTCCAGAAGGAGGAGGAGGAAGAGGAGGACAGGAGGAGGAGGACGGTGACGTCGACGAGTAGTCATGCTGTCGCTGGTAACTAGTATTGTTGCCAATAGCACCAGCAAGCTGAATCAAACACGAATACTAGTGACCATTCACCCCCGCTAAAGCTGCTGCTGCAGCTTCTATACTTTTGCTGTTGGTCTAGTTCGATGTTCGTCGTGGTGACGCAGGCACTGTAGTTAGTTGCTGCCGATGATGAGTCCGATTCCGATGCCGAGGATTGTGGTAGTTGCATTGCTGCTCTACGGCCTTGCATCCTCCAGCCCAGCCCTAGATCCCTAAACCCTAAACCCTAAACCCTAAACCCTAAACCCTAATCCTCAACTCCAGCCCGGCGGCATTGCACGCCTTTCAGTAATAGCCCCCGAAAGCTTGAACTCGGAAGGAGCAGTTCCTGCTGCACCGCTTCCGCTGGCTCAAGAAGCTGCCGCATCCCAGATCCAGGCCCACACGGTCTGGCTGGTTCTTAGTAAAATGGGTTTAGGGCTTGGGGTTTAGGGTTTAGGGTTTCGGGTGTTATTGAGACTTCAATTGGGGACCTTAAGGGACTATCATAGGGATCCATTGATGCACTCCCTAATCAAAACCAGCGAGGGGTTCAGGTTTCAGGTGTTCAGGCCCGTGGCTCTTCGAAAACTCGGAGAAAGGATCAGCGCCTCAGGCCAAGGCAAATTTACCGGTTCCCCTCCGGCTCCAGTTATCTAAATGACGGGTTAATGGGCTTCATCTCATATAGCTAGTAACCTGCTACATAGGTAGCTGGAGCCCTACGGCTCTACAGACCGATGCTTCGGAGTTCTCGTGGTTCTGCGTTTGGCGCCGTGGTATTCTAAAGATCATGCTGTCTTGTTCTTCTTATTCCAGGCACTTGACCGGACATTGGCAAACCCTAAAGCCTGAAACCCTGTAGGGTTTAGGGTTTAGGGTTTAGGGGTTTAGGGTTTTAGGGTTTAGGGTTTAGGGTTTAGGGTTTAGGGTTTAGGGGTTTAGACAACAGCTGAACTACACGGGAGGACTCACTAGGGGTGTGTTGTGTAGGTACGGAGTTTCCTGCCGAAGGAAGCACCCTACACCCTAAACCCTAAAAGCCCCAAACAGCAGCACCTTTCGGACACCGCACGTTGAGGGAGGGCCCTTCGCTGCTCAAAAGAGTCACGCTTCTGGGGAGTAGGTAGAAGTGGACCAGTCATGGCAACAGTCTTCGTAATCGGAGTTGTAGCTACTACTACTACTACTACTACTACTACTACTCCTGCTACTACTGCTCGTACTAGTACGAGTACGAGTACGAGTACCGGTATCAGTACCACTACCAGGGCCGGTCCAGGTACTTAGGCTACTTAGGACTGGCACGGGCACCAGCATTAGCACTAGTACTAGTAGCAGCAGTATGTACTCATTATAGTAGTAGTTGTAGTAGTCATCGTCGTCGCGCAGAAGCAGTAGCAAGAGCAGTCAGACCAGTTGCGAAATCCCAGGTTTGCAAAGCCCCTGAATGCTTAGAAACTCCGTCCCCTAAACCCTAAATCCTAAACCCTAGACTCCACGCGCGGAAGCCCCGAAGAGGACCGTCATGGTCGAGGGCATTCCACGCGACTGCTGCTCCGCAGACAAGGCTGGCGCTCAGGGTTTAGGGTTTAGGGTTTTAGGGTTTAGGGTCCAGGGATTAGCCAGAGCTTGGGTCGGGCTCCGGAGTTTAGTAAGGGTTCCTTCAAGGGTTCTTCTGAGAGTTTTCCAGGGGTCTGGCAGGATATTTCCAGATCGCTCAGTAGGAGTTTTGTAAGGGCTCTTCTGAGAGTTTTCCAGGGTTCTAGCACAGATCGCTTAGTAGGATTATTCTGCCTTGCGGTGTAGGGCATTGGGGTTACTCAGTGTCCTTGCTGTCAGGAGACGAGGACGAATGGGTTTGGGGTTTATTGAAGTTGTTGGTTTCATTCGGCCTGAAGCATGTTAGGACGAGGCTTTTGTTTGGCGATGTGGAGGCCCTTGTTATCAGAGTCACCGATGAGCATCCTTCTTTCTTTTGTAGCAGGTTAATGCTGGGTTACAATTACGTAGCATTAGTAATATGGGTATAGTTTTCTAAGTTAGGTCAGTCAGGTCCCTTTTAAGGGTTCTTTTTTCAGGGTGCCGTACTATATATTGGGGACCTAGAAAGGGACCCTAATTTCGAGACCTACCCATATTAGTTCCTATCATGATTCAAGGTAAGAGGGTGTAAGGTTCGCCAGCGTAGTTTGCGCCCTCACCAAATCTGCATTCAAGATTTGTTCCCTGTGGTATCAGCCCTTAGCTAAAGTCACCCTAAACCCTAAACCCCAAACCTACCTATAGTCTCCATTGTAGTTCCCTGTTTTGTTTAACCATCATGTTTATACTAAGGATTGCAAAGGGTAACCCCAAAAAGGAACGACAATGGAGACTATAGGTGCCCGCGGCCCCGAAACCCATTGAAGCCATAATGAAGAACGCTTAAAAAAGGCTATAGAAGGAACCCTGAACCCTAAACCCCAAACCCCAACCTAAGTGCAAGTAAACCCTAAACCCTAAACCCCAACCTAAGTGAACCCTAAACCCTAAACCCCAACCTAAGTGCCAGAGCACCCCTAAGTGCCAAAGGACCCCGGGGCAAGCCCAGAGGGTTGCTCAGTGCTTTAGGGTTCTGGGTTTAGGGGTTTA